AAGGGCTTTTACATTTGTAAAAGAAGAACTTTTTATATTAAAAACAAACAAGCAAGCCCTGCCCAGATTTAAAAAGTAACTCAAAAGTAACATAATGCATTACTTTCCATAAAAAGTAACTAGGTGATGTAATTAGTTACTTTTTTAGGGAGTAACGCAATATTGTAACGCATTACTTTTAAAAGTAACTTTGCCCAGCACTGATAAGCGCTGTAGAAATGAAGGAGACTTGACTTGTAGATGGAGTGTGAAGTGATCTGTGTACCGTGTGTTTTTCAGAACTGTGGTTATGGCACTAAAGATGACGATTACACCTGCATCTCCTGTCCGGCCGGGAAGTTCTCCAAAGGCAAATACGAGATCTGCCGTCGCCACAAAGACTGCGACTCGTTGTACCGCGCCACTGTCCTGACGCCGGGGACTCTGGAGAGCGACGCCGAGTGCGGACCGTGTTTACCGGGGTAAGAAAACACACAAATCACAGCACGCAGAAGCTCATAGAAACAGCAAGAGCTGAGAGTTTATTCCACTCCTAAGTAAGGTTTTACGAGATTACCTAAGGAACCTAACCTTAAGAAACATTTACTTTCCTTCGTGTTTGTGTGACTGACCCAAACTAACCTAACCATCTCTAACCCATAGCACTCCAACTACTCACAGTTTAGAGCTAGACGACAATGGTTTGTGTTAATGTTTCATTTTTCAAATAGGTAGTAAGTTAAAAGACATTATAATATTTGCAGATTCCTTGTTACATCTGAAACTGGTTGTTTGTCGTGTGATTTAATGCATTATACTTTCTAAAGGTGTAATAATGAATGTATAAGTATTATCATTTATTTTAATAATAATAATAATAATAATACATTTTATTTAAAGGCGCCTTTCAGAGCACTCAAGGACACTGTACAATTGAGTGATAATCATAAAATCAAGACAACAATACAACAAACAACAACTATTAACATAAAATTATTTAAAATTGATCAGAGAAAGCTAATTTAAACAAGTAAGTTTTAAGACATGATTTAAAAGTAGTCAGACAGTCACTTTCTCGTATAGATTGTGGAAGAGAATTCCAGAGATTAGGAGCAGCACAACTAAATGCCCTAGACCCCATAGTGGCTAAACGAATAGAAGGTACAACAAGGGAAACAGATGAAGAAGATCTGAGAGTACGCTTCGGGATGTAAATATGAAGCAAATCCTCTGTCTCTCTCTCTCTCTCACACACACACACACACTTAAATGCACACAATGGCATTCATACACACACACTCTCACACGCATACACACATGCATACACACACTCAAATGCAAAGGCATTCATACACACACACACACACACACACACGACGGCTTCACGCTGCTGTTGCCACTTAAAGCAGAAGGTCTGGTTTCAATTGGCTTGAATATAAATATACAAAGTGCAGCTTTTTAAAAGCACATTATTGAGTGTTTAATATACTCTGCCTCAGGAAGTCTCTGCTGTTTCTGTTTGGAGGGACGTGAAGTCTGATCGCTGATATTTCCTTTGAGATCGCAGCTCGTGATGGCTTTGATCAGGCATTTGTGTCGGTCTGAATGTGAAGTGTGTGTTGTGTGTTTGAGGGCATCGGTTCGTCTCGACTCACATGAGCAAAAACACTGAACATGCAGCAGATCATTAAACACTTTCAGCCTTTGAAGATTCAGTTGTGTTGTTTTCTCTTTGCTGTCAAACGTTCTCTATGAAGGCTTGTTTTCGCCACGGGATAAAAAAAAAAAAAAAGTTGTAAAAAAAAAAAATTTTTTTTATTTAATTTAATTTTTTTGACATTCATTTGTATGCCTGTAAAGTATTTCAGCAGTGGCTTTTATGTCTTTAACTTTGGCTTTTTCTTTGTGTCAAACATTCTGAATAGCTGTTGTAAATACAATCAAACCAAAATGTATTCAGACACCTTCAACATTTCTCACATTATATCACAGTTTATTGGCTGTAGTTTAGAAAACGTTAATAAAATATGAGAAGAACTCAGAAGAAATTCATCTTGATAATGTCAGATAACTCTGATAGAAAGGTATGTAATGAATTGGGTTGAATAGCTGTCAGCTGTTACATTTAAGAACACAATTAGATAAAACCAATTTAGCTTCATTTAGTTCAGTCTGTGGTGTAAAAAGATCAC